GGAAGTCTTTGAGGAGATAGAGGAGCCATTGAAGCTCACATGTAGTGTCTGCCATGGCTCTGTACTCTGCCTCACAAGAGGATCTGGAAATGGTCTTCTGCTTTTTGCTGCGCCAGGACACAAGTGAGGAGCCTATGTATATGCAATAGCCTGTCACAGAACGCCGAGTGTCCATACAGGCTGCCCAGTCTGAATCACTGAAGGACTTGAGATGGAGATCAGAAGATGAAGGAAAGAAGAGTCCAGTTGATGGAGCTGACTTGAGATATCTTAGGATTCTGCTGACTGCTTGGTAATGTTGGACACTAGGATTAGACATATACTGACTGACCTGTTGGGTGGCAAAACTGATGTCTGGTCTGGTTGTTGTGAGATAGATCAGTTTGCCAACAATGCGTCTGTAAAAGGAAGGGTCTGGATATGGATCTGAGTGATTGGCAGTCAGGTGGAGTTTGTAGTCCATAGGAGTGGAAACTGGTCTGGAAAGTAATATTTCTCCCTCCTCAAGTATCTCAAGAGTGTACTTTCTCTGGGAAAGGTGGATGCCAGATGAATTCCTGGCAACTTCAATGCCAAGGAAGAATTTAAGCGGGCCAAGGTCTTTGATGCTGAATGTTGTGTGAAGGAAGTTTTTGAGCTGATTGATTTCTTCCAAGTCAGAGCCACCAACTACCAGATCATCAACATAAACCAATACACAAGTGAAATGAGACCCTGTGGATTTGAAGAAGAGAGAATGATCAACTTGGCTTGATGTATAACCCCTGCTGGTGAGGCTGTCTGCTAGTTTTGAAAACCATTGCCTGGAAGCCTGCTTGAGGCCATAGAGTGACTTTTTAAGCCTGCAGACTGGATTCTTGATGTGTGGTGGGGGTGTGTAGCCTTTAGGAAGTTTCATGTACACTTCCTCAGTGAGATCCCCATGTAAGAATGCATTGTTCACATCAAGTTGATGAACATGCCATGATTTTGCTGCAGCTATGGCTAGGAACAGTCTCACTGTGGTCATTTTGACAACTGGGGCAAATGTGTCCTGGTAATCAATGCCCTCCTGTTGATTGTAGCCCTTGGCTACTAATCTGGCCTTCTCCCTCTCTAAACTGCCATCAGACAGAAATTTGTATTTGAAGATCCATTTGTTGCCAAGTGGTTTTCTGTTTTCTGGGAGGCTGACTACATCCCAGGTTTGGTTCTGTTCAAGAGCATCAATCTCATGATTGATGGCTCTATTCCATTCTGGTCTTTGAGCAGCTTCTTCATAACTCTCAGGCTCTTTGTAACAAGAAATGTTTAGGATGAATTTGAGATAAGGAGTGGACAAGGAACTGTAATCAAGTACATCAGAAAGAGGGTAGGTGATACCTGGAACTTGCTGCTGAAGAGAATGACTGGAGGAAGAAACCTGCTGAAGTAGGTTGCAATGGTAGTTTTGGAGTTTGGATGGTTGTTTGATGGTTCTGGTTGGTTTCCTGATGGCAATGGGAAGGTCAGAAGATGAAGATGGGATGGAAGTAGTTGAGGGAGCTGGTGGTGTGTCTGGTGAGGAATTGGATGGTGATGGTGAGGGTGGAGGTTGGGGAGAGGAAGGAGTTGATGCTGGTTGATCAGGGTGATAGGGTAATGGAGATGTGTAGGGTGGAGGAGATGATTCTGATGTGGTGGGAAGATTGTTGGATTCTTGAAATGGGAATTCTGTCTCATAGAAATGAACATCCCTAGAAGTGAAGATGTCATTGGTCTGGAGGTCATAAATTTTGTATCCTTTGATACCTGGACTGTATCCCAGAAACACTCCTTTCCTAGCTCTCTCTTGAAATTTGGTCCTATGACTGGTGATTGTTGAGGCATAGCAAAGGCAACCGAAAACTTTTAGGTCAAGTAAGTCAGGAGGTTTGTTATGGAGTTTCTCAAAGGGGGTCAGGTTGTTGAGAACTGGAGTAGGGACCCTATTAATGAGAAATACAGCATGCTTTACACAATCTCCCCAGAAACCAATTGGAAGATTGGCTTGGAATTTTAATGCTCTTGCTACAGCTAAAATATGTTGGTGTTTGCGTTCTACTTTGCTGTTTTGCTGTGGGGTTTCAATGCATGACATTTCATGTTGAATACCAGTTTGATCAAAAAAATCTGTCATCTGGAATTCTCTGCCCTGGTCACTTCTAATTGTTTGAACAGAAGTAGAAAACTGGGTAGTGACCATGGTGCAAAAGCTTTGTAATTTTGGTCTGGCCTCAGCTTTGGAATGAAGAAGAATAAGCCAAGTCATTCTGGTATAGTCATCAACAATGGTAAGAAAATACTTGAATCCATCATAGGTGGGAGTAGAGTTTGGTCCCCATATGTCTACATGTATAAGTTGAAAACAGTGACTAGTTACAGTGGTACTAGATGGAAAGGGAAGCCTCCTTTGCTTAGCAAAGTGGCAAACATCACAAGGTAAGGTGCTGTTAGTTTCAATGGATTCACAGAGTTGTTTCAATGAAGGTATTCTACTGTGAGAAACATGGCCAAGTCTAAAGTGCCATATGTCAAAAGATGGAGAACTAACAGCTGCTGTGATTGGTTTAGGTATACTATCTAAAGGAAGGCTGATGTGGTAAAGGCCATGGAGGAGCTTAGCAGAACCAGTCACTCTCTTCAGCTTCAAGTCCTGTATTGTGCAAGAATCAGAAGAGAAAGTTAGGCTGAGTTGGCTGGAAGAGGTGAGTTTGCTTACTGACAGGAGGTTGAATGTGAACTTGGGGACATAGAGAACATCCTGAAGTATTAGGCCATTAAGACAAAAAATATGGCCTTTGTGGGTAGCCTGAACCCTATCACCAGTGGGAAGATTGATGAAAATGTGATGTACTTGTTGAGAATTGGAAAGAATTTGAATGGAATTGACAATGTGATCAGTTGCACTAGTGTCTAGAATCCATGGAATGAGTTTACCAGATTGATGGATAATGTTGCAAGTAGGGTTACCTGAAGATGATGTGTAATGAGTGGTGAGGGCTGCAGAGTGTGGTGATTTGCCCTTGATGGTCTCTGTCATGAGGGACATGAGCTTGTCATAGTCTGTCTTGGTGAGCTTGAATTCCTGAGCAGAGTCAGTTGAAGAGTTGCTGTCAGCAGCATTGATGGTTGATCTTGGTCTTGAAGAGCCTGAAGATCTTGACTGAGAAGGGGGTGGGTAGCCATGTTTCTTGAAACATTTCTCCTCAGTATGCCCTATGCGTTTGCAAAAGGTGCATTCAGGGGGTTTAGAGGAAGGGTTAGATGTGGCAGTGGATCCCCTTGGTGTGTAACCTGGAGGCCAACCATGCTTATGAAAGCATGTCTCTTCTGTATGACCAGGTGTGTTACAGAAGGTACATTGAGGACGTTTGCCTGATGAGAATGGGCGTTTAAAACCTTGAACAGCAAAGGCTGATGGATCAGCAGTGCTCATTTGGCCTTGGTGAGTACCAAAAAGTTGTCTCTCATGTTGAAGAGCTCGTTGGAAGACCCTATCAATTGATGGTAAAGTGTCTCCAAAGAGAACTTGGGATCTTACAGTGGCAAAGTTATCATTCAGGCCACGAAGAAATTGAATAACTGAGTTGACATCTTTGTAACCAAAAACAGCATTCATGGAAGCACATGTGGTGTGACTGGTATTGGTACAACGACAAGGATCTATTGGTTGGTAATTGTCGAGTTCATCTTGCAGGGCTATGAGGTTTCCATAGTACTCAGTTACAGATTGGTTACCTTGCTTGATTGTGGCAATGGCTCCAATGAGTTCTGCAACTCGAATCATGTCTCCTTGGCCATAGCGTGACTTGAGGCTTTGCCAGGCTTCAGAAGCGAGTTTGCAGGACATAATGGTCTTCTTGATGAGGGGATCGACTGCCTGTTGAACCCAGCTGAGAACCATGACGTTGTTCCTTGACCAGGAAGAAAAAGTGACATCTGTTGGATCAGGGGCAACGATTGTGCCATTGATGAAGCCAAGCTTGTTCTTGGCGGCCAATGCGTTCAGCATAGCCTTGCTCCAGTCGTTGTAGTTGGTGGTGGTCAGCTTCTCACCTACCAACATCAACCCTGGTTGATCTGAACCATGTAGAAAGAAAGGATCCGACATTGGATCCATGTTTGGAACTGCTTCTTGAGCGTTCATTTTGGAGGCGGCGGCTAGGGTTGCTCTGATACCATAACACCGAGTGTGTGATATCAAACCCTAAACTTAGTTTCTCATTCATCATCTCAGTCTTTTATACAAGGATCAAAGCTAGAAGACAAGCTCTGGTGAGCTGTCGAAATGCAGAAAAAGGAAAAGGAAAACAGAGCTCTGGTGAACAAGTACAGGGGAACGAAAGTGACACACTGTCACTGAGTCACAAACGGCAGCGTATTAAGCTTGCCTTTCCCTTTGTCTTGAGACGGTGTCGTTCCTCTCGGATGACTTCTTCCCTTTCCCGAAACGATGTCGGACCAGCTAGCCGTGGGAGTAGCCGTTGCATTTGAAGTTGAAATTTGGGGATTTTGGTCTGATAATCTGTTTGAGTTTATATAATTATACATACGAAAAATTAATGTCGCGCTCATCTAACTATTCGTTTTAAACCAATTCACACCTTCAATAATGTTGAAGGTGTGACATTACATTAGTTTTAAAATAAATAAAAATACAGAAATGGAAATTCATTTTCTTTTGAATAGTCAATATAATGGATCTTATGAATTTTCCTTTGTAATCCTTTGTCATAATTTACTGTAAGTATGCATTGCTGAATGCTGAGATCGCATGTTTGACTAACTAGACAAAGTGACATTTAAGTTTTAACTGCCTGAACAAAAATAACGGCGTTATTTTGCTTTTTGCATTGTGCTTTTCATCATCGCCACGGCCACCATTGGCTTGTTAATGTTCTTTTCCCTCTCCTCCCTCGCACCAAAAGGCAATGCTTATTTGATGATCCTAAACCTACGACTGACTGCAAGCTCCGTCCACCACCTCGGAAAGAAGAGCAATGGCCAGCCTAGGATCAGCTTTCAGCCGATTCCTTTCTCTATTCATTCTCCTCCTCCACCTCGGCTGCTTCGTTTTCCTCCCCAGAGACCGAGATCCCTCCTCCCACCACCCTCCACCCACCTCAAGGAAGCGCAAAACCACTTCACCCCTCGCCGGCGACCACTCCCCTCCGCCGGCGACCCGCCTGAGACAATCCACCACCGCCACCAAAGCCCTCGTCTCCTCCTGGTCATACATCAAACGCGTATTCTCCTGCAAACCCACTAATCCCCTGCCTCCGCCTCCCCCACTTTCCCCTGCCCTAACCTCCGCCAGATCGTCCCAGAAATCAATCGTCTCCATGATCGCTCCCGACCAAATCATCAATTCGTTCCCGGAAGAAGACGGTGCGACAAATCCTCCTCTCCCGCCGCAAGAATCGGACATCTCCACCGCCGACCATCATTTCCCGCTCCGAAACGACATCTTCCCCTGCACCGCCTGCGGCGAGATTCTCCCCAAGCCGGGCCTCCTCGAGCAGCACCTCGCCGTCAAGCACGCCGTCTCCGAGCTCCGGGACGGCGACTCCGGGAACAACATCGTCCGGATCATATTCAAGGCCGGGTGGTCTTGCAAGGAGAAAACCCCTGAAATCCGCCGGATCCTCAAGATCCACAACAGCCCCAAGATCCTGACCCGGTTCGAGGAGTACAGGGAGTTGGTCAAATCCAAGGCCTCCAAAATCGGAGGAGAAGGGCGGAGGAGGGACGAGCGATGCATAGCCGACGGGAACGAGCTGCTGAGGTTCCACTGCGCGACTTTCGTCTGCGATTTGGGGCTAAACGGCGGGTTCGGGTTCGGGTCGGGTTTCAGCAGCAGCAGCAGCCTCTGCAACCAGCAGTACTGCAGCGTATGCGGGATAATCAAGTCCGGATTCTCGCCGAAGATGGACGGGATATCGACGCTTTCCACCAGCTGGCGGGCGCACGCGGCGATTCCGGAGGAGATCGAGGAGGAGTTCCAGTTCATGAATGTGAAGCGGGCGATGCTGGTCTGCCGGGTCATCGCGGGCCGGGTCGGGTCGGAGATGGAGGAGGAGGAGGAGGAGGTGGACAAGGATGGCGGCGGGTTCGATTCCTTGATGGGGAGAGCAGTCGGCGGCGGGGATGATGGTGGTGGGCTCCATCATGCCAAGCTGGACGAAGAGGAGCTGTTGGTTTTTAATCCGAAGGCTGTGCTTCCTTGCTTTGTGATTGTATATACCGTGTGAGCGTGAGAACGGCTGTATGCTATGATTTTTTGTGCTGTTATTTATTTTTATTATTTAGTTTATTTTTTATTTGGCTTAATGATGATGCTTTGTTGGACATGTTGAGTTGAGAGACAGGAGGGATGGGCTTTGTTTGGCTTTTTTGGGTTAAATTATTACGGGGGAGGGCCCAAAAGTGGTCACTTTGTATAATGCCTTCTATAAGTGAGTGAGTCGAATGTCACTATTGTTGTGATTATAGTGTGTGTGTGTGTTTTTTTTTTTTTATAGGATTGTTGTGATTTCATTATAGTGTTGACTGTTGAATTAGGAGTTGGCATGCTCATCTTTTTTTGCGTTGGTTTGCTGCTTTTTCTTATAGCCCTTTCGGTTCCAGGCTGTGAGTTTGCGATAAATTATAGTGGATAATGTATTGCGTATTGTTAGTGATTGTGATTATGACTAGAAACTAAACTAACAATAATCTAAGCAGTGGTGTTTGACGATGTGAAAGAATAAGTCGAGAAATTGACAACACCTACTTGACTGCTTTAGACTAGAGGCAGCCGGAATTAGTGAATTTTTTTAGATTATAGTGGAGTATTTAGAGATTTGTGACTTGAACCATATCGAGTGCACTTACAACATCATTGATAAAGACGGAGATGGAACAAGTAATTTCACTTAGGTAATGTGTATTTGTAAATGGACAATAGTTGATGGATCATGGATGGTTTACTGGCATTACGAGCTTTGTTTCATTTATTTTTTCTTTCTTCTTCCTTTTCATAGTTTCTTTCGGTTCTGTTTGGTAACCTGGTTCTTGCCTCTTGAGCCTTTTCCCTGTTTATTGTTTCTTTCTGCTTTGCTTTTCATTAATAAAATCGCCATTATAAAAAAAAACAAGAGATCATTTTTAAGTCAGATATGGAGATGACATATGACAACGTCAAATAAATGATTACTTTATTTTAAGTTGCATTGAATTTATAAGTGAAGTAACCCGATTGTATACCCTTTTAGCCCGCGTAATCCATATACATCGAGTTTAATAATACAAAATTCAAACCGACAAAATGAATTGTGTGTTTTCATTTCATGACCTGCATAAACATATACTGCAGAGAAATAGTGGATACAGTATTGGATGAGAGGGGGGAAAACATAGGACGAAACTTAAAAAACTCCAATACACAAATATGTAAGGCACATTCCTATTAGCAGAGGTACCGTCCTTCTTTATATTTGCAAATAATTGAAGTTTTTCCAATAATTGAACTATTCAAAAATTTAAGGACCCTATTTTACCAATTTGATTTTGCTCTAGAGCCAATATCCAAGTGTGCAGTGTGATTGACTTGACTGTATACGTAATATAATGGACAAAGAAATACAAAACTACTGTAGGATTGGAAGGACAACATAATGTATGCGTTGCAAAATTGAATTGACTAAGCTAAATCTAGGTTTCTTGTTGTGTGATTGATGATGGAGAGACTTTGGCTGGAACGTATGGTGTGGGCTGACCGAGGTGGATTTGAGAGAAGAGAGGAGTCAGAGGAGCTGCTGAGTGACTCTGATGGAAACAATTTCTCCTCCAGTTCCAGCTCTCATCACGTAGAACTTTGAAAGAAGGCCTGAAAGATGTGCAAAAGTAGATAAATCTGTGAATAAGCGAACCAATGATGGGAAATGAATTGAAATGAAATGTGAGCCAAAAAATTGGAAGCAATTAGTGTTCTTCAGTTCTTAGTACTGCTACTGCTACTGCTACCTTGATTGGCTTGTAAGTTGGTGCTAATTGCAACGGCATGGAAAGTGATCATAGCTTTCGGCTGGAAATCGTTCTGTCGTCCAGCCCAGAGTTTGAGATTGAACACATCTGGAGAGAAGGCCATTTGAGTTATCTATTGGCAATCCAGCATTCACAAATAGCAACACCAAAATTTCCCTTTCTTCCAGGGTTCTTGGCATGGTGCTTTCAGGTCTTACACATCATTACTCCATTTTCTTGCGAGGTTATGCGTAAGAAGAAGAATATAGGGGGCCGCATTTACCTGCTGTTGGGTGGTCAGTGATGTGCTTGAGGTCCATAATTGTAGCAGAGGCTGCCTTCGCTGGTCCTTTGAGTTTATGGGATCCTATTTGCTCATACTCCCAACTGCAGTTCTGGTATTCCTCACTCAGAAACAATTCTATATGCCTCGCATCAAGTGCCTGCATTGTTCCTGCATACATGAAATTCCAATCTTCTGTCAAACCGGGTTTGCAGCAGACTCTCTCATTCCGTAATTCGGACCATTATTGACAGTATTTAACCCAAACGATTGTATAGAGGCTAAGTAATGATAGTCGCAATGAGAAGAATCCACTCCCAGATAAAATATCAGCAGTTTTACTTTTAATCTGAGCGAGATGAATGCATATGTGACCTGGTCTAATGTTAACAGAATGCAGCAATTGAACTTTGTATTGTCGGAACCATATTCCAATAGAGTAGAGCAACCTGACTGACTCACCCTCGCAAGTATCAAGTTCGCAAACAGGGCAACGAACAAGCTGCAGATCTGACAAAATACCATCAATCAATCAAGCATGAGATGAGACTTCGAAATTGGTTCAATGATAGGTTAATATCATCAGGACAAGGCCAATCAGTTCTAGGATTTTCTTACCTGCTATCCAGATTCCTGTTCTGAGGCCGCTTAGCAAACAGGCTCCTGCTGATCCCAACATGTTCTGGAGCGATTCACGTTTCATGATCTTCAATGGTAAGGTCAGTCTCTGGCTAAGGATTACTGATGGTGATTCTAGGAAGAAGGCACCGATCCTCATCCAGTCTGATTTACAGGTACACAGAAGAACGAACGAACACATTAACTGACCGATTTCTCAAATCGAAACCATGATTTCATTAGAAGAAGGCGCCAGAATTTCGTTGGAAAGAAAGAGAGATATTCACCAAGATGTTTCTCCTTGTCACGGAACGCGTAAGAATGGCTTCCGTCTGTAATAACAGCAGAAAAAATTCAATGGAGCGGCAGTGGAATCAGGAACAGAATGACGCATATGCAACTTGATCGACAATCTTACTATCACAGTGAAGGAAATCCAGAAGAGGAGGGAGGAACATTTAACGATTGGCAACCACAGAAGCTGAAAATTGAATCGGAGTAGCAAGAAACTTACCGATCGCCGATGCGTAGAGCTGAATCCATTTGAATTCCGTACGATCTGGAGCTGGAACTTGAAGATGGCTCAAGCAAGCAAACTTCCACACGCAGTCTTGCATAATCACGCCGTGGAACCATCGGCAGGTTAAAGCGAGCTTCACCAGAGATTTACCGTCCAGAAACTTGGCGATCTCGGTCCACACATCCAATTCGTAACTGCTTGAGTTCACCGAAAATTTCAAAAAGAAAATCAATAGGATGGATAAATCATCACAGAGATCGTATTGAATACCAGAAATCAGTGGGATCGAACGATTTGAATTACCGACGCAGATGATAAGCTAAGATCACAATCGAAAAAAATTGAAGAAATAGGCCGGAGCTCAGATATGAATTCAGTTTCTACTTTCTAGGTTCAACTGGAGAGCATTCAGTTTAAACATAGCCTTCCACTGCAGAGTGAGACAAGCAGCAACGCAAATCCAGAGTAGCAGGTACTCTACTTGAATTCGGATTTTAATTCTTCTTTTTCTTAGCATCCAAACAGCGCTTAAACAAACAAATGCAGATGCACAACCACACGAAATCCGCAGAGCCGATTCAAAACCAGATAAAAGGAAACTGATGTTTGGAGCTCTAAAACTTAGCTTCGAACGCGCAGGGAAGAAACAGTTGAAAAGCATATATGTAAATGAAACACTGATCAAAAGCTCGATGAGTAGCCATTGATGAATTTTGAAATCGAAGTGTCTTTCCAGAAATTCGCTGAGCGAGGGAGATATAGCGCAGAGAAGAGAGCTTACAAGTTGAAGGAGCGAGGAGAAGATTTGTGACTGAGACGAGGAGATTTGCAGCTGCAGATGGATCGCTCTCTGCGCAGTCGCTTCCTGGTGCTCCCTGTTGAGAATGAATTCCCTGTAACCATTTTCTCTCTGATTTCTGCTGCTTGGAAATTTTTTCGTTCTCGTTTGGAAGGGTGAACTTGGTGGGGAAATGGTCAAAGGCTCAGTCAAGTGTGATTGCCGATTTATATAGGGGGCGCGAAAACTCCTCTGGTTCAAATCGCGTGTGGCGATTGGAAAAGACAATGGGGCCCTCGCTAAGAGCTTCCCCCTTTCTTCGCAAGGGATGAATTTCTCAAGTCCAACAGAAACGGCTTTTTCCTTCTGTTTTTCAAATACATTTCGACTTAATACTGATAAATCATCACAGAGATCGTATTGTCCCGGTCGTCACCCACTCGTGAAAGAGTCCATCTGAGATCCGACTACGAACTCTTAGCCACCGTCCGACCATACGAACAATCTTGTTCCCGATCTCTTGTGGGGAGGAATCAACATCTCTAAAAATTCTATTGTTTCTCTCCAACCAGATGAACCAAAGTACTGCATGGGGCAACAACTTAATGCATTCACTAAACCGTTGAACACACCACAAGCCTCGCCAAGCAATGAGGAAATCACGAGTGGAAGGAGGGTAAGGGCCATGAAGATCAAATCCCTTTCTGAAGCTTTCCCAAATCGTAACCGCAAATGGGCATAAGAAGAAGATATGTGAGATCGACTCCTCATGGCATTTGCAAAGAATGCACCAATTCGGAAGAATCATCCCTCTTCTTTTCAAGTTGTCCAAAGTAGAAATATTTTCATGATAGACCATCCACATGAAGCAACAGATCTTTGAGGGCACGACAGGAATCCAAACTAACTTGAAAGGAAAAGCAACGTCACCCCCAAAGTTATTCTCAATAAGGTTTGCAGTGAACGAATGTACCGAAAAGACCTCAAAGGACTCCAAAGGCCACACCAAGCGTGCAGGTCCTGTGGTAATCCATAGTTGCGGAAGATC